TGGCTCTTCTGAAAATGCCAAATTTTGAGCTAACGGTTGAGTTTTCTAGAAGCTTTATCTGACATTTTTTAAAGCACATATACTCATAAATACATTAATGAAAACAAATTTTCGCTAATGTAAATATCAATGACGTGAAAGACAGGGTAAAAATTACATTTTTGTAATTTTTTGAAAAAACAAAGAATAGCGCAATATGTTTGTCATTTTTAGCGTGCAATTAGCACAATCCCTTCCAAAACTTCAAAGAATAAATTTGGGTTTTTAAGAAAAACTTCTTTGTGTAATTTTTTAAAATTGCAGAAATTGTACGCAATATTTTGCGAAAACTACTAATATTTTTAAACGATGTACATGAAGTAATTAAATTAAATAAAGTAATTATGAACAACAAATTTTATTCGAAGGAAAAATTTCTATCTTTAATTTTGCCGCTGTAGGAGGTCACCGACCAAAGTTTTCTTTTTAAATTTTCGAAAATTCAGAGTTAACCGTGAAAATCGGACATATGCTAATTTTATCAGTATGTTACTCCATTCTTAAAAGAAATTTAAAGAAATAATTTGGAGCTGATTTTGAGAACTTTTCAAAAATGTCCGGAGGATATCATGTAAAGTACCTCTCAATTTTAAAGCTTTTTTTTTCAAAAACTCAATGCGTCGACTCGAGACAGATGGAAAGGGCTTTCTTCGATTTAGGGAAAATACTACGTATGATTTATGCGCTAGTGATGTTCACAGACGGACGGACGAACTAACGGCCGGCCGGCCGGCCGGACAGACATAGACAGACAGAGGGACATTGTGAAAAAATAAACTTTTTGGGCATTAGGGGACCCCAAAACGTATTTCCGTTGAAATCTCGTAATGGATTTTCCACAGCATTACATGCATAACGTACCCTACACTACGTATACTGACAAGTAAAAATAACTAACAAAAGGATCGCGCGATCTTTCCATTACTTACACACAGTTACACCTGTATGCACAATATTACCACGTTGCCGGGAGTCCAATTGGGGCCCTTAAGCTTGTCCGAACTGGGGCAGTGCCTAGCTGGTGGGCGATATCTGGTTGGGGAAACCCCGCTAGTCGTCGTAGGTCAGCGCCGAATCTCGCCATTCAGCGAGGAAGATAACCACCATTTCCCGTAATAAAAAAAATTTTGCACAACACTTATGGTATTAACGACTTCGGAAGTTGACTCAACGGGAACCACTAATCAATAAATAAACTCCTGTTTATAAGACTTCCAAGTGCAGAGATTACACGCACGAGGCCAACTTCAGGGCAGAGGCGATGTAACGGTTAGCGTATCGGACCCCGATCGGAGCCGTGGATTTTTAAGGGCGAAAAAATCCTTCGTACGTCTTCCTTCGGACGGGAAGTAATGCCGACTGACCTATGTTAATAGAATTACTTGCATGTAAACGATCTAGCCTAAATTACGCCACTGAGCTAAATTCAAATCGCCTGTTCGTCACCCATGAAATACCTTTCTCCGTTAGTTGGTGTAAGGAGCGAAAAAGCGGGCCTGATGGCCCGAGACTCGCCACGTAAAAGAAGGTATCAATTCCATGTGGCAGCGTGGACGGTGAGGGGGAGCGGCCGCGAGGAAGCCTGGTGTCTGCGCGCAATTGATGTCAGCTGTTTATGGCCCGCAGGCTGCGTACGGTGCCCCGGGAGGAGGGGGAGGGGGAGGGGGAGGGAAAACGCGACGAAACAGTATGACATGGCGTTTCGCTGTACGATAATTGGCAGACATCTATCGAACAGGCAGGTACAAGCTCCTAGGACGCGAAACTTGTAAATGATATAGCTATGACACGAGTCTTTTTGATCGTGATAAACATGAGATACAGGGAGAAGCACCGTGTACTGACCAATGAACAAGCGTGCTATGCATGATGTCAGGAACCATTTATATTGATACTGCATTCATCCTCTCTTTTAGAAATAAATACATTGACCCACAGTTATTTAAATAAACAACTCAATGTTTAAGTTCATAATGTTCATTCATAAAATATTTATTTTGAAATAATCATCTTATACCATACTGTACATAATGAAAATGATATATCATACACACATGAATGCGATACTTTTAATGATAAATATAAAAATAAAGAGCTTATTATGAATTATTGTCTTTGATTTGGAGGGATGAAAAATGTCAGTACTCCCCAGAACAGAAAACATAGATATTGTATCTTAAAATACCAATAGGATAGCAGTTAAAATTAATTTCAAATTAAAACAATATTCCCCGCAGTCAAACAAACTTTTTTTCCCATTATTCACATTGGTCATACTAGTGTTTATTTCTCAGTTTTGTGAGGTAAAAGGAGCGCAAATAAAGCAATTTAGCACGAGACATCGCTGTCGTCGCCGTCGTTGAGGTTGAGCTGGCCCTCACTGGCGGACGCCGCCTTCCCCCCGCCCGTGAACTGCAGTGCGCCGGAGTCGCTCTCCGGGTAGGAGGGCACGCGCCCCACGGCGGCTGCCCGCTGCTCCCGGGGCGCCGCGGGCCCCGCCGTCACCACCAGCTCCTCTCCCGAGTCGCTGGCCTCGCCCCCCCGCCGCGAGGCGCTCGAGGGACCATGCCCCCGCGCCGCACCCGCGCCCTTCGGGCGTTGCTCTTGTGGACTCGGCGACTTCACTTTGGTTTTGGGTATGGCGCCTGTGTTGGATGCGGATGAATGGGTTTGATCGCCGACTTTCTTCTCAGTTTTTGAAGATGTACTCTCTGATTTCGCTTTTTTGGAAGGTGGCGTGCCGTTTTGTTCAGGCATGTCCTTGGTAGCGGCAGCAGCTACAGGTGATCCAGTGGCAACTTTAGATTTTACTTCTTTGGGTGATGGAGATTTATGCTTACGTTCTGAATCTTTTTTCAAGTCAGGAGGTTTTCCCGGTGCTTTGGATTTCCCTGCTTTGGGTGAAGAAAGCTTATGATCGACGTTTTTCGGACTAGTTGCTTCCTGAGGAGTACTCGTATCTCTAGGTGCACCTCCTTCGGACAGTGGAAGCGTAGTATCGTAATCAGCAAATGCTTCCGCAGCACCGGTGTCTACAGGAATAGGATGCGTTTGCTGCGAGATCTCGGGGTGTTCTGGGTCCGAGGTGTGGTCCGGGGTTTCCGACCCGATGGCTATTCGTGCGTAGCGCATGAGGTTAGAGCCGGCGTCAAACAGCGCTCCGAACATGCCCCCACCGTTAGAGGCCGGGGGCGGCGGGGACGAAGGGAGGGGGGGAATGTCATTGTCGCTCTCGTCGATCACGACACTTTCATCTGGAGGAGACTCTACACCGTTCAGTTGAATCACACTGTTCGTAACTTCCGTGAGGTCTTTTTCATCTGGAGAATCTCTTGTCTCGTTCCTTGATTCATGGGGAACCTCATGAACGTCCAGGTTTTTTGATTGTTCTTCCTTCTCTTCTGATACAGTGCTGTCTGACCTGTTGATTGTTGCCTTTTCACTGAACTGCACTTTGGAAGCTCGTCTTGGTACGCGAGGTCCATTAGATTTTTCTCGCTGAATGTTCATGGGTTGTGAAGGAATTTCAGCTTCAACATTTCTGATCTCTTCACGCTTGCCTTCTTGGCGGTTGTATTCAGAAACACCGACAGAAAGCCGAATAAGACTCACTTTACTTTTATCATCATCGCCCCAGTCGAAAAGTGATTTTTGCTGAAACAGAGATGTCGTGTGTGGATTCAGTGTTTCAAACTCTTCCTCCTGCTCCTCGTCTTCCTGCACCTCGTCCTCGTTTTCTTCCTGTTTCTCTTTTTCGTTTTCATCTCTTGACGGCTCTTCCGTCGCTGGCTGTTTGGCGTCCGCAGCATCTGCAACGACGTGCTTGTCCTGCGATGCGGTGAGGCTCTTTCTCCTCCTGGCGGGTGCCTCGGGGGTTCCGTCGCCCTCCGCCGCAGCCTCCTCCTTGCGCGCCCACTCCTCCAGCATCTCGACGATGTCGGTGTGCGGCGCGCGCGCGGCGAGGCGCGCGGGCGAGGCGCCGTCGCCGTTGGGCGGCGCGGGGCGCGCGCCGGCCTCCAGCAGCGACGCCACGACGCTCGCGTGGCCCTCCTTGGCGGCCCAGTGCAGCGGCCGCGTCGCCTGTCGCGGTTGGCGCGGTGCGGGTCGGCCCGCCGCCACCAGCGCCGCGGCGGGCGCGCGCGTGCCTCGCCCGCCGCCCAGTGCTTGGCGCCGTCGACCCGTGGTTTGTCGGCCCAGGCCGCGTCCGCCCCGCGCGCACAGCTTCGTTCCAGCGTGGCGCGTGGCCCCACCACGACGCCAGTGCAGCGGCGCGGTCGCGCCACGGCGGTCGCGCTGCGTTCACGGGCGCGTCCGGGCGGCCAACAGCGCGCCCAGCACGCCGCTGTGGCTCGACCCTGGGCCGCCAGGTGCAGCGGCGGCGCGCGGACGACGCCCTGCCCGCGGCCGCAGCGCGGGCTATGGCGCGCGCTCGAGCACGGCGCCGCACCAGCAGACGCGTGGCCGCGCAGCGCCGCGTCAGGTTGAAGGCGGTGTAGCCATTCGTCAGTTTGGCAGTGTCGAGGTCGGCGCCCAGCATCCAGCCAGGCACATGCGGCCGCGGTGCGTGGCTCTTGTGTGCACGCCAGTGCAGGCGGGGGGGCCCGTCCGGGTTGACGATGGTTCACGTCCACCCCGGCGTGTCTGAAGGTGTGCAGCGTGCCGGGCCGGTTCTCCGCAGCGGCGGCGGCACGCGGGTTGCCGCCGCGCGGTTCACGATGTTCACCTCGGCGCCCTTGTCCAGGCAGGAGCGCACGACGGCGCTCTGGCCCTCCATGGCGGCCCAGTGCATGCGGGCGTGCACAGGTCGGCGCGCTTGGCGTTGACTGCGCCGCCGCGGGCGGCCCTACCAGCGCTCTGCGCAGCGCAGAGTGCCGCCGGCCGCCGCCAGTGCAGGCGGCGAGGCGCCGCGTTGTCGGCGCGCCGGCCGCCCGCGCCGGCGCTCCAGCAGCAGGCGCACCAGGCCGGGCGTGGCCCTCGGTGGCGGCGGCTATCTGATCCTCTAATCTCGCCCCCCCGGCAGCCATAGTGCAGCGGCGTGGGAGCCTCTCGCCGTCCTCGCGGTCCGCCTCGGCGCCGGCCTCCAGCAGCACGCGCGCCGCCTCCGCGTGGTTGTCGGCGACGGCCGCGTGCAGCGCCGTCGCCCCGTTCAGCTTCTTGATGTTGGCGCTGGCCTCGAAGGCGAAGAGCGCGCGCAGCGTGTCGGCGTGGCCCTCCTGCGCCGCCAGGATGACGGCCGACGACCCGTCGTTGCGTTGCACGTTCACGTCGGCCTTCGCGCGCCGCTTCGGGTCGCCCTTGAACACGCGCAGCAGGTTGTGGCACAGCGTCTTCTCCGTCTGCTCGTCCAGCTCGCGCTGCAGCAGGTACTCGACCATTTCGGTTCGGCCGTTCTCTGCGGCGATGTGCAGCGCTGTGGAGCCTTCGAAGTCGATAACCTGCCGAAAAGCACAGTTGGCTATTAAATTTAGTTAACATATGAATCATTGTGAGAAGTAATTCAAAATAGAAGTGAGAAACTAGTGGTACTCCAGCAACACATACTTTCTCTCATTATTTCTTTTGCAGTTTTCGAAAATTCAGAAAGTTCATTGAAAATCCGATGTACACTATTTCAAGCGTTCCTTCTGTTGAAACAATAAAGAACAATTTGGAGCGATTTTTGAGAATTTTTTTTAATTTGCAATAACTTCAAGCAGAAATAACCCGAAAGCTATATTTTTTAATTGTGCATGGTCTCAAGATCTGACATATTAAAATTAATTTTAAGACACAGAAACTTATCAGATAATTTGTAGTTTTGTAGTATTATATTTGTAAATTTCTTTGATCCATCGACAAGGAAGATTTAAAGAACGAAATGGAGCTATTTGTGAAGAAAGTTTGTTTAAAACTGCATAATTTACGCAGAATTGCGCTAAAACTAATATTTTCGAAAAAATTTGAATCACATAACTTTAAGATGTCTGTCAACAACGGATTTTATTAAGAAAAAGAGCTCTCTCTTCAATATTGTATTTGTCGGATAAGCTGAAAAAAAAATTTTGCGATATTGCAAAAATCTGGAATTTAGAGCGGAAATAAGATCTGCGACATTATTTTAAGTGTCTTTTACTTTCCAAAGGAAAAAGTTCAATCAAAACTAGTCGTCCTTAACAGCACATACTTTCTTATATAGCGTGTAACTTGTCCGCTATATTACATTATTATAAATATCATTATACTATTACAACATGCAAAAGTTACCAACCAGCAAAATTATCTTCCCCACCGAGCATCAAACTCAGGCTCTCGGAGTTAACTAGCCTTTAGCCAAACAACTGCGCTGCAGAAACGCAGTGAGGTTCCACTCGGGCAGACGCCTAAAAATGTAATTGTCTCCACCCAATATTTCGAACATGCAATTTTATTATTTTTCGAAAATAATGAAGAGTGTTGACCGAAAATGAAACTTAAACCATAGTTTTACCGTCACGTAATACATATGAAGATATTTTTTTTAAAAGAAATTGCCCTTTTGTAATTTTCAAAAAATCTGATATGTCGATGAACATGAGACCTGCACCACTATCTTAAGTGTTCCATTACGCTATCCGAGGCCAAAGTTTTTTAACAATATTTTGAGCTATTTGTGAGTAACTTTTTAAAATGTTTTTGAGACAACAATTTGCTCGAAGAGAAAAGTAATATCGAGGTGATTATTTTCGAGTATTAATTATATTAATTTGGAGTATTTATTGCTTTTAGCGTTTCATTCAGGGCATAGATAACATTCTAATTTCTAAGATTTATAAAATTTATTTTGATGGATTCGCGCATGGTGTTGCCGACTTTTATTTTTATTTTATTTTCAATTTACTTAATGTAATTACAATTATAATTTTAATAATAATTAAGTATTGAAAATAATTGTGTACGAACATTTATTTAACGTATGATAATTTGAGATTCACTTTTCAGCTATCTGACCACTTCAGTTATGAAGTTGCAATATAGCAATAAGAACGTCGCGATACGGCGTGCAGTTCAAAAAATAATATTTTATTATCAGGCGGTACTTCTAAGAGTGTTTATTGAGAAAGATGGTGGTATCGATAACCAGGATATCGTGAATTTAATACTTCTGGTGTTAATACAAGAAAGAATGGAAGGTGATTCGAGGTTGTCATTCGAATCTTGAATAGAAATATTACATTTAATATTTAAATATATATTCGAAATCGCGTTAATACATTCTAATAAATTTATATACGAGTACAATACGCATTGGGCGTGTTTGGTACGTTTATCCAGAGCATCAATACACGGAATTCAATGGCAGGAAGAGGTTTTCGTTTAAACGTTTAAATTTTTTTTAAGTGTTTTTTTTTCTAATTTCTTTAAGAAACTGGAAATGGTAGTTGAAGAGTAAGACAGAAATTGTTATCAGTATGCAGAATTGGAGTAAAACTCTAGGGTGTGCAGATGTGCGGATGTGAGGTTCCGTCACTCATGGTTAGACCACTTCTCGTGCACCACTCGAGACGTATGAGGAGTCATTCGATGCGTCTCGGTCACATGATGGGGAACTGACAATTTGATTTCGGATAATTTATTAGAAGATTCAAAAAATCTGTTTTTCTTGGGTTTTGGTGCTGAGATCTTTGTGATAATGCCACGAATTAAACCAACGCCACCTAAATACCTCTATGTAGATCATTAATTAAACACCCGTACCCAAACAATTTTTTAGCAAAATACGCCATAATTTTCTTTCACGACGTTGGCAGCTCTAATGTTGACATCTTTAAGTGAACGATTGAATCACCAAGTGAATCGCGCTGCAGATGGATTTTAATTAAGATTCTAATTATCATATTTAAAAAAGAAATTTGCGAAAACCTATGAATAGTATTACCTCGGAACTTATTAAACTTGAAGATTTAAAGCGAATACGAAGAAAAGAAAACTGTGAGTAATAGTAGAGACTGAATGAACGTTATGTTCGACTTCACACTTTTACGTTATTACATAAGTGTTCAAATACCGATTTTGAAATGAATGTGACCGACAACTTACGTTTAATAAACTTTGTTAGTAGATAGTGTGAAGGACACTTATGAGAACAGTGTCACGTTGGTTCAATGCCCTGATATTTCGAAAGAAGGAAAAGTTCAATTTCAATTCAGTAACATATTTTATTAAGGGGTCAGATTTAAAGATAGATTTTAAAACTAGATCATGGAAACGTTTTCGAAAATTTGAGTTTTGCAAAAAATGATGACATGTGTTTATTCAGAGAGAAATCGCGGTATCAATAGTATAACTACGGTCGAGAGAGTACGAGTTTGCCGCAGAGCTGGGGTGGGGGCGTGTTACCTTCTTGAGCTCGACCCCGAGCGCGTGGAAGTGCTCGAGCAGGCGCACGTGACCGCGCTCGCAGGCGCCGACGAGCGCCGCGTTGAGCAGCACCTCGCTGTCGAGCAGGCGCCCCGTGGCGACGAGGTCGTGGCGCGCCGCCTTGCCCGCCGCCGGCAGCAGCCGGTCCAGCGCGCCCCACGCGCGCACGCGGTCGGCGTAGCGCAGCGGCCGCCAGCCCAGCACGCCGTCCGCCAGCCCCACGTCAGCGCCCGCCACCACCAGCAGCCCCACCTGCTCGCGAGAGAAACACACACTTGGAACACGCGCGGGGCTGGCCCACTCGACTCCGCACCTGCGCGTGCACTAACAATCAGCAAATCCCAGATGTGCAGCATCATAATATGAACTTCCAACCGTCATATGCTCATGGTCAAAAATCATCCACCCTTTTACGTGCTCTACAAGTTTGTAACATATCTGGGGCTCCCTATAATAACACAGGCACACGAAGTAAAAATACGTTGTCAGACTCAAAGACTTGACACATGTTTCTCTGTATATGTCTACGCGCTGATCCGAAACCGGAATTGGGTCAAAACCTTCCCGTTTTTTCGCGATTTAAAAAATAGTGGAGGGTGATAGCGCAATTCTGGCTTCATATTCGGATTTAGCGCATCGATATAGGTACAGAAACATATCTCAAGATTTTTAGTCTGACAAGAACCACTGAAAACAACAAATACAATTTTACAGGGGGAGGGTTTCGCGCTTAAAAGCTCGACGATGGTGGCGCAATTCTGGCTTCGGATTCATAGCGTTGACATACATATAGAATTATTAATTAGATCACTGGATTCGCTTAATTAGAACTTTGTGTTCGACCCGGAAGCAGCAAGCTTTGAGGATCACTACGCGATCAAAACGGTCATTAGCAAAATAAATTGTTGATACCACACAACATATTTTATTTATCATTCTTAAATACATATTGAAACATGTGTCGCGTCTTTGATTCTGACAACAACCCCCGAAAACAAAAAAAAAGTACAATTTCATGGGAGGTTTCATGACTAAAAGAACTGGAGGGCGGTGGCGTAATTCTGATTTCGGATTCGGATTAAACTGTACATAAAGAAACATGGGTCAATTCGTTGGGCCTGACAACATTTTGGTATGCCAGAATAATTAATACGATTAGGTTAGAGTGATAAACAGCAAAGACGGGTTTAAAGTTTGTAAATCGAGGTAATCGCTGAATTCCGTATTCAATTCATCGCATCGGTAATACCACAATTACGGATGATAATTAGAACCATCTGGATGGCTTCATTTCTCCTTAACGGACGTCTAACGGGTAAAATTCTTAATGCACGCTGGCCTTTGAATGTTTTTCCTTCTTCCATTTGGATCCGTTACCCCTTTAAATTAACAGAGCAATAGTACGAAAAGCGTTAAGCGTGGAAGGTATACGTGTTAGTGGTGCAAAAACTCCTGTGACGGTTTCGTAACATTATAATACTACTTGAAACCGCAAGAGGGATTTCAGTCGACAAAATACTTGCTAACGCTGGAATTCTAACTCAGAGACTTAGTTTTCAGAAGCACTGACGTCAGTACATTATCCAACGACCATTAAGCTGGCTGAAACAGTACAGCAGTTCACAAAGAACGAATACTCATATTTTTTACAAATGAGTGCTTCTTCCGAAATATTAATCCCTAGTAATTTTTGCAAAATAAATTTTCGGCCTGCTTTGAAAATTAAGCTAGCTGAATCAAAAATAAAATCCTCTATTACGAAAATGTCATAAGTATGGATAAATATAATATAACAAAACCTCATAATTGCATACATTATTGAAAAATATGTTATAAATAAAATATAAATAAAAAAAATACAACTCTCTTAAATCAAAGACTAACATTTGACAAATCGTTTTAATAAACCAACGAAAGGAAAAGAAAAAATTTCTAACGTGGAATCAATTGTATAATCTTTGATAATATCATCCTTGAATTAAATACTTGTCAACTGGAGCTGTAAATATTATTACAAAACTGATAAAACTGCTTGAATTCGTGATATGGCAGATATGTGATATTAATGCCAAATATTGTTTAAAATAGCAAGCAGAAACAAAATTATTTGTAACATATAAATCATCGGACTACGGCGCCGATTACAATGTCAAATATTTTTTATGCTAGCGAGCAGAACAAGAAATTTAGTAAACAAAGTACATAGAGTAAAAAACAAAATAACAAGAAAAAACAAGACAAGTACAAAGTTAATACATCAACTTGAATACAACTGTTCAAAGACACAAGGTTAGTTGATAAAAATTAGAAATAAGCTACCATGGAAAATTAAAAATTGTAATAAAGTAATGAAATTTTCAATCAACATTATACAAGTAAGAAAAATTGAAAATTTATTACGTAAATATTTATTATAGAAAATCTAAACTGAAAAGAAGTGGTATCGTGTTTATAAGTAATAGCCGTGAATGCGAAATAGGTCAAACGTGTCGATGTAAAGTTAAGTATTAAAAGTTTGAAGAATCATATCCAGATTTCATTAAGAAATTTAAAATTTTAAATGTAAAAATTTTTCAATGTAAATTACCATTAGTTCTTGAGCTATCACACGTTTGTAATTATTAGTTGATTAATTATTAGTCCAATTTTTACTTTTTTACCTTACGAATTTCTACAACGAGAAAGTTCTGTAATCGTGCGTCAGAAAACGACGAATTTCCCCAGAAAAATCTTGTTATGTAATATGTAAATGTAATAAATAAATAAATGAAAAATGAAGAAAGAGAGAGGGAGAGACAGAGAGAGAAAGAGAATGGGGGAGAGAGAGAAAGAGAGAAAGGGAGAAACAGAGAGAGAAAGTGAGAAACAGAGAGAGAGAAAGAGAGAGAAAGAGAGAGAAAGAGAGAGAAAGAGAGAGGATGAGAGAGAAAGAGAGAGAAAGAGAGAGAAAGAGAGAGCGAGAAAGAGAGAAAAAGAGAGAGAGAGAAAGAGAGAGAAAGAGAGAGAAAGAGAGAGAAAGAGAGAGAAAGAGAGAGAAAAAGAGAGAAAAAAAGAGAAAAAAAGAGATAGATAGATATAGAGAAAGAGAGAGAAAAAAGGGAGAGAAGAACAGAGAGGGAGAAAGAGAGGGAGGGAGAGAGAAGGACAGAGAGAGAGTAAGAGAGAGAGTGAGAGAGAGAGAGAGAGAGAGAGAGGAGAGGTGCAGTACCATGTGGGGCATGTCGTGGGCGGCCGCCAGGTGCAGCGCGGTGCGGCCGCCCTCGTCCGCCGCGTTGACCGGCACGCCCGCCGCCAGCAGCGTGCCGGCCGCCGCCTCGTCGCCGTTCAGCACGGCCCAGTGCAGCTCCTGCTTGCGCGCCAGCACGCGGTCCAGCCACAGGCGCACGCCGGCGTAGCGCGGCTCCAGGAAGCGCTCCTCCACGAACTCCTTGACCGACACCAGCACCTCCGACAGCCACGTGGCCAGGAAGTACTCGGGCAGCGTGCGGTGCACGAACACCGGGTAGTCGTTCACCAGCGTGATTAAGCTGCCCTCTCCGGACGATTGCCTCAGGCGCCGCAGGTCCTTGTAGTTCTGGTACTGAGCCGCAATGACGGTCATTTGCTTTATGTCGTCCTTGGGAATCAACAACATCACAGCTAGGATCATATACCGATCCATCAACCTTAACTTGTTTTCTATTAAAAGCTGCTGTGTCAGCGTATCAGTCGCCGCTCTTTTCATCAGGAAGTCATAACAGCACTTTTCGACGTATTTCTCGTAGAAATGAATGAGGTTAAGTTTGTTGGGTACGGCGATGTTGCCAGACGTTGCGAAAGCCAAGAGCTCGTTGTTGAAAGCGTGGGCAACAATGGCGGTGAGCAGCGGACGGCAACACAGTTTCTCATCTTCCTGGCCCACGGAATTCTTTATTAACGTCATAATGGCTTCAACAAAGACGCCGAGGCGGTTGTTATCCGTCACTTTATTGCCCCATTTGTTGAAGAGGAAGCGTCTTTGATCGTCTTCGCCGATGGGAAGCAGAGAAAAGGCGAAGGTACAGAGGTTCCCGCAGAGGGCGTTTTTAATCTTGGAGCGACATCCGACAAACACGCTCCGAGCCTTGCTCCTCGCGAGTTTAATCATGTCCGTGATCTGGCCGGTAAGATGCCAAGGCACGCTCTCAAAACCGTCGATGAATACCGCAATATTGCCGTCCCTCCAGTAGCGCACGAACAACATGTCGCTGAGCACGCTGTCGTAAGGGTACGTCGCCAGCTCCCTCAAAAGGGGGTACAGCTCCTCCGGGTCGTCGAATAGAGTGTTGTTTATGAAGTCTTCGTGTTCTGGTAAGTTCAAACACACCACCCACAGATTCGCATTTGCTTCTTTTGTACCTCTTGCGACATGGCGAAGGAATGTGGTCTTTCCGGTGTCTTCTTCTCCAGTGACGATTGTCAACTTTTCAGGAGAACTAGTGGCATCATCTATTTGGAAACGATCTGCCTTCTCCTTCAGAAGATATGGATCAAGTGTGCTCATATTACCAACTGACCACTTCCATGACAATTTTTCGTCCGAGAGAACAAAGAAATGGACACTCATATTGCCATCTACTGCTATTTCAGAGAAAGGTTGTTCATCATTTTCATTTTCAATCACAATTATTTCTAAACCTTCGAACGTGTCCATAGTATCCATCTTGTGATCGTAAATGTGATAATTCTCTCCTTCTGGAATGACTTGAATAACTTCTGCTAGTGATGCACCGGTTAAAGCAAGTAACGTATTTGCAATTTTACTTCTTAGAATTGTCATGTTGAATGAAATTGAGCGAGAAAGAGTTCGAGGAAAATAATCAGCAACAGCGGGTAAATCACAACCAACTACCATGTCTTTTGTAGTGAGTATTGAATGCAAAAAATCTCCTTGAAACTCACTAAAAATTTCTGAGTATGGTCCTAAAAGTGTGCCAAGAGTCGTTTCTACACCTTGAAAATGCACTGGTTTATTAAGAAGCGTTGTTTGACAACTTGCACTGAAACTGTTCCAGGAAATGACATCTACGTAGTTCTCGTACTTAATTTCCAACATGTCTAAACATGGTATTAATATCTCTTTTGAATTTCGAGCTACCAATATCAGTCTAGCATCGTGATTCAAAGACAAGGCTCGATGAATTTCCCTAAGAATTAAGCTCAGTTCAGAGATCTGGGCCCCTGTAACGTCAATAACTAACACTGAGCACCAAAATCGTTCAAGTGCCTTCACAATAAGAGATCTGTACTTTATTAAGCTCCCAATATTGAGTAGAAAATACACAAGACCTTCTAGAACATTATGTACTTTCACGAGATTCAAAACTGTATTCTCACTTTGGCAGTCCACACACACAACGCTGTTTTCTAAAATTTCTTCACTAAGATTTTCTAAAGAATCCTCAATAAATTTCACATCGAAGGAGGCGAGAGCTTTTAACATTGGGTCTCCGATCAATCGCACCACTTCGGTAACAACATTTGCCCACACTTGTGAGTACCTGGAGTACCAATCGTCCCCCTCTTCCACCCACTTGCAAATGCCTTTGAGAAAGGAAGAAAATGCTTCGTCTAAGCTTTTCGCAAGCTGTTCTTCAGAAAACGCACCCGTATCACTATTCGCACCACTTAATTTAAGAAATTCATCTTTAACCAACTCCATCAACTTCTTTTCATCTGGTTGAGAATGAAGCACTTTAAACTTTTCCAGAAACGCCTTAAAATCCATCCTATCCACTTCACCGCCCATCTCAGACAGCAACAACTCCACACCGTTTTCACTTAGGTCGTTCCTTAAGTTCTCCACGCGTTGATGTATTTCCTCCGAGGCGACCACCGACTTGAACATTTCCGTGGAAGCGATGAGCGTCGCCTCCTCCACGCCTTCGGAAATGTCGTACGCCATGTCGACGAGGAAGTCCCAGTACTTGTTCATCTCGTCGCACAGCTCCCACGGCCGCTCGAGGGCGGCCGGCCCACACACGAGGCCGCCGCCGTCGGCGATGTGGTCGGCGTGCGAGTAGCTCGCCTCCGCGCTCAGCTTGGCGTCCGTGTAGCAGACGAGCTCCATCTCCTGGATCTGCTCGCCCACCTGCTCCTCCAGCCACGGCAGCGCGCTCAGCACCTTCCTGAAGGAGACGAAGTAGGAGAAGAGCTGGCCCGCTAGCCGGGGCGCCGCGCCCGCCCGCTCCGCCTGCAGCACGTGGAAGAAGCATGCCGTGACGCGCTCGTTCTCGCGGTACAGGAAGACGTTGTCGCCGAACGCGCCCACGCCGCCCAGGTTGGCCGCGAGGATGAAGTGGTCGGCGTGGTTGAGCCCGCGCAGGTACAGCAGCGAGGCCAGGCCAGACACGAACTGCACGCTGGCCTGCCTCGACGGGGACTTCTTCAGGTACGACCTGCGGGGAGACAGAATCTCTTACAATGCGAACAACTGCAGTGCAACATCGGTAGTGCTATTGAACTTGCAGTTTCATATCTTTCTAATTATTTTTTATTTTTTGTTAATTTTAACATTTACAAGCATACATTTTAAATAATTATTTTACTCTAAAGTAGTTGCCAGCTTTGGCAAGTTTATTAATTAAAATTTGACCTTGCCTCCAAAAGTGTATATTGGTTATTTTATATCGGCCTTAAAAGAAAGTACGCGCTTCTTAATAATAATTCATCAAGTCTTTGTATGGATTAAATGTTACGCAATTATACTGTTTTGAAGGTTTTGTACATTTACAACAAGTCGGATTATCTAAATTCAAATATTTCAAAGAAACGCAAAAACGTTTTTTAGATCAACGACTACAATTCAACAAGAATAATGAAATCATTCTTTATTTTTAATAATGGTTAGGAAGCAGCCACCCTATCATATCGTTTATAGTGTTTTTCTATATACTAGATTTGATCAACTCAGTGAATGTTAATTTTGTGCATTACTATCCTCACATTTTATTTACGTTGAATTCCGATTAGAATTCGTTGAACTCTAAATCATTTATATATTTTTTTCGATTCGCAATAATTCGGAACTTGGGTTGAACTTTCCGACCTTGTCGCAAGAGGAATATACCTACTTATCTTATTTTTGTCTTGTATTCGTCATCTTTGTTTGTGAGTGCGAGAAAAACTTCCAAACTTAAATGTCAGCACTTCGTTTTACTTACATTTTCATTAATTGACGAAGGCATTTTTACAGATCCAATAAAAAATAATTAAGAGTACTTGATATTTCAATTACAAGCTCAAGACAATTAATATATTTTCTCAGGGTTTGACGCAATTTCACTATCTTTCGTAGCATTGTGATGTAATCAATACGATTGAAGTACATCTGAAGTGCCATCAAGGTCATTTCAGATACAGAATTTATCGGTTTTCAAGAAAGGATAAGTTGATGTCTTTGATTAAGGTACTATTGATTATTGGTATATTTAGAAGAATTAAATGCCATGAATTTCAGATTTCAACAGTAATGAGAATGTCATAACTATGCTTCTTTACTATTTCATAGATTACCCTGAAAAGTAGGACTAGTTTGTACCAAGTTAAATGTTTGAAATACATTTTAAGAATATGTTTATTTTTTATTAATGAGTAAAAATATATTATAGTATCAATTCTATGTATTTAAAAATCAAGAAATTAGTAACAGTCATCAATGAAATAATTATAAACGTTGTCATTGCCAACAATAGTATTTATTACAAGAGCAGCTTTAGATGGCTTAGCCATCATCAGTTGTGTGCTGAATGGAAGCCACAAAAACGACTACCTTCCATTCAGCAGACAAATGATGATGATGGCTAAGCCATCGAAAGCTGCTCTTGTAATAAATACTATTGTTGGCAATGACAACGTTTATAATTATTTCATTAGAAATGCCAACGATAACGCACCACAACACATATAACAGTCATCAACTTGCAAAATTGTTGTTCAGCCAAAATAATGTCACCGTTATTATGAAAATATCAATTCGACATTAGAATACATATGTCAAATGCGGTCAATGTAAACACATTTATAATAAAATAATTTCCTCCCTAATATAACATCAATTTAGTATTTCCTTTAAACATATAAACTTAATTATTTTTATTAATTTTTAAACATTTTACAGAATGTTAGATCTGTAGTGACCATCATTATTACCACATTTCAAATGTTAAAGACATATATTCTTCTAGATCAAATATAATTGATTCAGGTAGAAATTTTTGTCGTTGATAATACATTATAAGTTATACTGAAATATATTGATAACCTTTCAGTGAAAAAGAGTTAAGAGTTAATAAACAAAATTGCAGGTAAACGATTATGGACCTTCAGAATAGAAGTTTGTGGGTGACAGAGCGTCTCAAGAGCTGTCTACAAATTTCAGCTTTACTTCCAAAATAAGTAGCTAATAAACCATGGTACTTTAAAAGGGATGTTCTCATCGTGATTTAAAAATACCAACAGTATCACAAACAATAAAGAAAATTGTAAATATCAAACATCAGCAACTTGATATACATCCAAATCATCTGGTAATTAACATTATAGATCAAATACGTGATAAATAGAGACTAAGAATGTTTAAGACTGCGGATTTAAGTCATAGATTTTAGTCACTTTTTCTGAAGGACCACAACAGGGTGTTTCTACGTACAATATATGATTAGCCGAATCTTTTCTTCACGAACTAATTGAAAATAAATAGATAATGAGCAAAATCATCGCAGAAGCGCCAGTCGGCAACACTTACATAGAGCCGGGCTCGACGCTCGGCGAGGGCCGAGGCTGTCACATAGCGAGACTCGCGACTCTCGCCCTCAAGCGCAGACGCCCTCCGCCCTGACGCCTGCGCGCGGACCTTATCGCGAAAAGAATGCGGGCGACGCTGCGCCCGGCGCGCCCCACGCGATAAAGAGATCGTTAATGTTCAGGTAATCAGCGATAAGCATCCACCAACGGCGGCGACTCTGAAGCGACTTTGAGCCATCGAGAACAAAGTTCCTATCTTTTCCATCGGTGATCGATCCGAAAGTGGGATTTGCGATACTCGGAATTCCATTGAGCTTTATTATTTGATGATTTTCTCACAACACGTTATCTATTGATACAAGCCTTCAGTCTATCGGCGTGTGAAAAGTTGTTTAACGAAAACAACTTTAAATTGCACTCCAGCAAATCCATATCCAAGTCATCCAAAGATTTTAAACTAAAATAATAAGAAACATTGGCAATGCTACTTTCGCTTCCAGATGGTCTACACTGATTTTCGAATGCCAACAATTCATGATGGATACAAAAGTGACACAACTCTTCCATCTTCCATTTTTCTATGACTCAGTTGCAGAAACGATACTTGACCGGTCAACAAAAATGTCGTTCTATAACTTCAGAATGTGGCCGGTAGTGGGCGGTTGTGTGGTCACTAGTTGTGGGTGGCTAAATGTAAGTGACTGAACTAAAACAAAAGTCCGTTCTTTGGAGTTAATGCTAGAAATAACTGAAATACCGTTTAATCCTGGTTTTATATCCGTTCTCATTATTGCAGATAGATTTGTTTGTCTTAGTTATGTTTCACAATTGTCAGAAACGTTTTTCGTGAATGAAAAGCATGACATTTTGAGTTGCAAGTGTTCGATATGTTCAAAATATTAAATGATATCTTCATAGGATTTATAAAAGTAATCAAGAAATACGCTTAGTAAACCGAGTTTTATTAAAAATGTGTCTATTAAAATGAACACAAATAAATTGATAGCAAAGATTTTGTTTCATTTGTTCTCTTGCAGCTTGATCTATGATTTCAAGTAAAATCTTGTCATCAAATCTTGAGCTATCACATCCTGCCACTTAATCATCTTAAAGGAATGCATATCAGTTATACGCAGTGAAAATTTCTCCGCCAATCAGCCACACTCTGACAGGTTCGCCGTGGACCCACACTACTGACTAAGGTACCCGCCCTTATCTGTCACAGCTGTCGAGCTCTAGAGATAGCGATATGAAGCCACGTAATCCACGCTGGACCTTGCATTTGTCTCCTTTCATTTTTTGATAAAGGTCTGTAAATCTTATAGTCAATTCACGACCTTAATTGATCCTATACAACACTGAGATGACTTACGTCATGGGGTTCTTCCCAATAACCTGTCGGACTTGCTTAGGCCCGGCGAAGTGCTGCTACTCGACGTGGCGTTGACTCACTAAATCGTTGGAAGTCCCCTCCAGAAATATTTAGCGATGCTGCATCTATAGACTCTCATAGTTGTGAAAGTTTTGATGGTGCAGGATTGTGTCACAAAATACCCTTTCCATTACGACTAGTGGCAGCTGGTGCCCTTAATTAATGCGGAGGGGATGCATGCAAAAATAAAAAAATGGATTGATACACGTTCAATACCGGTGCAGGTCTACTGTGAGCTTTTATATCGCACTTTTTGCAGAGTTCAGTTTCTAAATTTCACAGTTTTTAAATTCTGAACAGAATTACTATTTGTCTAAACTAAAACAGTACATATTTTCTGGTCCTTACTTTTACGCAAAATTACGGGAAAGTCTTCACATTTTCAAAAAATTGTACGTGACATTATTTCAAAATTTATCTTTAGGGACGAGATTTTATTAAGTAAAAAATCTCGATCTTCAATATTTTAGTTCTAGGAAGAGTCCGAAAATTTTTTGAACGTTTGCAATTTTTGCATATCACGGTTTTTAACAAAAATGAGGACAGCTCCATTTTCTTAAACGATCTTTACACTATCCAAAAAGGAAATTTAATGAACCAATATGGAGCCTTTAAAAATATATACCAGGGGTTTCGTGAGATATAACCCACCAAAATTAAAATATTGGTTTCAAATTCAAGGGGCCGCGACATTAGACAGACCGATTGAAGAATATCAGTCTTAGAGAAAACCAGCTGAACGGTTTAGTCAGTAGTGTTGTTCACAGACGGATGGACAGATACATTTGGCCATCATTTGATTTTTCGGTATCAAGGATCTACAAAACATATATTCTGGCCACACTAAGTGTTAGAGGATTTTTATTTCCAAATTTAGCAACTGGATTAATCCAATTTTTCGTAAACAAGACCCTGTTATGTGTCTTTCTGCCGAAAACAGGCCGTTATTTCGCGCATTACAGAACTTTCTGTCTACTCCGTAGCGAGCGAGTAAAAAAATAAATATTTTCTTGACTAGAGTAATTCATCTTCTCCCATATATTAAAGAGTAATAATTAGGAGTACTAACTAGATATTCTCTTACGAACGACACAAAAGGAAGAGTAGAAAAGTTACAACAAAAAAGTAGTACATATGCACTATACGGAAAAATGAAAACCCCAAAGATATTGTTTCATGTCGTTCTGTCCTTATTCTCCAAATCAAATTAAACAACAGAG